TGTGTAGATCTGATTCAGAAGGGTTGGGTTTCCTTCTTTAGCAATCCCCTCAAACACACACTGGAACTTCTTCTTCAACTTCGTTTTAAGTTTACATTTACAAATTGCTGCAACATGTTCTGAAAACAATAAATAAAAAAAAAAACAGAAAACAATGAAATGAAATGCATATGACTATTTGTGCCCCCTAAAATATAAGACATTACTAAATGTTCCATTGATCCAGCAGCTTAAATATCTAGAGAAATTGTCTTACTGCTCTGCAGACAGTCAGCCAGCTCCTCCTGCTTCAGTTTCCTTAGGAAGTGCAATGTGATCTTCACAAATGCTTCTCTGCTGCTCTGCTGCTCTGCTGCTCATCATCCTCACCCTTCAAAACCTCCTCATTCACAATCTTATTCTCTACGCATTCTGGGTAATCTGGACTCAGAACCTTCTGGATCTTCTTCAGCTCATTCTTTACAAAAATGATGATATTGTCCTCCAGCAGCTGGAACAGAATACTTTATGAAAGACCCAGTCAGACTGAAATCATGCAGCCAAACATCAGATCCATGTTGGACAATCCACTGGTCGAACAAAGAGCAGATGAACAGATGACTGGACTTTCTCATTGGTAACTTTATACATTTGTGTCACGTCTTAATTGACTGTTCAGTTGTTCTGAGTAGGATGATGCACCTCTATTTTTTTGCTGCTAAATATGATACCATCACTCTCAACTTCAATCTACCTAACACCCACTCACTTAAGAGCAAGGGACATATCTTCTATGATCTCTTTACCAACTGTAAGCTAGACTTTCTCTGGTCAACTGAGACTTAGCAATGGCCAATGACTTGTCTCAGTTGAATGAATCCACTCCTCCTGGGTTTGTTAACATCTTTCAACCCTGTAGTACTGGCCGGGGACTAGTACTGGCTCATCTATCCTGAGAGGTGAAAAGTCATACTAGTCTCTGCTCCTGTGTCAGTTCTTTTGAATCTACTGTGTGTTAAATATCTGTTCCTACTCCTAGCATTATTTCAACTGTCTACCATTTCCCTAAACTCAACAATCAGTTCCCAAACTATTTTGCTGCCTGCCTCACATCTATCACAGTATTAATAACTCTCTCATCAGAAATTTTGTATCTTGCCTTGAGAGTTTGGATTTCAGCAGCATATTGGTGTTGCTACTCAGTCTAAAGGAAACATTTGAAACCTGATTTGCTGCTCTGGTGTAACCCCGCTTATCTATGAAACTCTCTTTATTAACAATTCTCTATTAATAATTCTTTCTCCAGTAGCATTGACTCTTTCATAGACATTCAGCGTTTATTCACCATTGAAGAACTGATTTCACTCTACAACACTGAACTCCATGAAAAAAAAAAAGATCTGTTTTCTCCTCTTTCTCTACCCCCTGAGTTTACACCTGAACTTTGACTATTACTGTCACAAACTTGAGAGGCTCTACAAAAGAACTGGACTTGCTCATAAAAGATGTATAAAAATCATAAACGACATTATAAGGACAGCATCGCTCAAACTAGCCCAGTTACTATTGTCATATTATCTCTTCTAATGAAGGTAACACCAAGTCACTCTTTTCATTGCTTAACAACATCATCCAGTCTCCAAAAGTTGATTCTGTTCATCTGGACGTAGTGTTTTGTGGGAGAAACGTTTCGTCACTCATCCAAGTGATTTCTTCAGTCTCAGCTGATTGCAGGTTTCCCCAAATGTTATAAACAGTACATTTGCATAATTACTGAAACCAGCCCACTGAAGGAACAATCTGCATGTCTTTGGACGGTGGGAGGAAGCCAGAGTACCCGGAGGGAACCCATGCAAACACGGGGAGAACATGCAAACTCCACACAGAAAGACACCGGCCTGATGGTGGAATTGAACTCAGGACCTTCTTACTGTGCGGCAACAGTCCTAACCAACATGCCACCGTGCTGCCCGAAAAAGTAAAAAGTTAAAAAGGCTTTCATTATAGGTATACCTCAACTATGAGAGACAAAATGAGAAAAAAATAAATCCAGAAAATGACATTGTCTGATTTTCAAAGAATTTGTTTGCAAATTATAGTGGAAAATAAATATTTGGACATCTAGAAACAAGCAAGATTTCTGGCTCTCACAGACCTGTGACTTCTTCTGTAAGAGGCTCCTCTGTCCTCCACTCGTTACCTCTATTAACCTGTTTGAATTTGTTATCACAACCTCAAACAGTCACACTCCAAACTCCACTATGGCCAAGACCAAAGAGCTGTCAAAGGACACCAGAAACAAAATTATAGACCTGCGCCAGGCTGAGAAGCAGCTTGGTGTGAAGAAATTAACTGTGGGAGCAATTATTCAAAAATGGAAGACATACAAGACCACTGATAATCTCCCTCGATCTGGGGCTTCACGCAAGATTTCACCCTGTGGGGTCAAAATGATCACAAGAACAGTGAGCAAAAATCCCAGAACCACACAGTGAATATCCTGCAGAGAGCTAGGACCAAAGTAACAAAGGCTACCATCAGTAACACATTACACCGCCAGTGACTCAAATCCTGCAGGGCCAGATGTGTCCCCTGCTACAGCCAGTGCATGTCCAGGCCCATCTGAAGTTTGCAAGAGAGCATTTGGATTATCCAGAAGAAGATTGGGAGAATGTCATATGGTCAGATGAAACCAAAATAGAACTTTTTAGTAAAAACTCAAGTTGTTGTGTTTGGAGGAGAAAGAATGTTGAGGTCCATCTAAAGAACACCATACCTACTGTGAAGCATTAGGTGGAAACATCATGCTTTGGGGCTGTTTTTCTGCAAAGGGACCAGGACAACTGATAAATGTAAAGGAAAGAATGAATGAGGCCATATATCCATGTAATTTCCAGTGAAACCTCCTTCAATTAGCATGGAATTGAAGATGAAACATGGCTGGGTCTTTCAGCATGACAATGATCCCAAACACACTGCCCAGGTAACAAAGGAGTGGCTTTGTAAGAATAATTTCAAGGTCCTGGAGTGACCTAGCCAATTCGCAGATCTCAACACCATAAAAAAAAATCTTTGGAGGAAGTTGAAAGCTGTGTTGCCCAGCGACAGCCCCAAAACATCAGCTCTAGAGCAGATCTGCATGGAGGAATGGACCAGCAACAGTATGTGAAAACCTTGTGAAGACTTACAGAAAACACTTGACCTCTGTCATTGCAAACAAAGGGTATATAATAAAGTAAATGAGATTAACTTTTTTTATTGACTGTGTTTCAAACTTATTTTTCATTTCCAAAATCATTTTAGAAATGGTAGAGTGAAGCACCACGGCAGACCCAGAGAAATTTTCATGCTTTGCAGCCTTCTTTATTTACGCTCATGGTTGCTGTTACAACACACACAGAGCTGCAGCTCTCCTGCTGCCAGCTCAACATACAAACAACAACCCCAACCACAGGACCCAGTGCAATATTTAAGACAGCGGAGCATGATTACAGATGCCATGCGGGTGCGTCCACCTCCCCTGCACGGCACCGCAGGCCACGCCCCGCCACGCCCCGCCACAGGTAGTCATTCAAGTTCATTCAAATTTATCTCAATTACAAATAGTTTCAGTCTGGTTTTCATTCCCCTCCTAGTACAGAGACTGCACTCATAGAAGTTACCTTCTCAGCTGATTCCATTTTACTTACTATTCTCATTCTTGTTGACCTTAGTGGAGCCTTTGATACTATCAGGCATTGTACCCTCCTAAACAGATTATCCTCCACTGACATCACTCCCTACCCACTCTAAGAATTTAATCTTTCCTTTCAGACTGCACCCAGGTCATTTAGCTCAAATTATTCACATCCCAGCCTTCTTCAGTCACTTCAGGTATTTTATCATTCATTTCTTCCCCATGTACTATCTTTCATAAATACAACAACAATTTCCACTGACACGCAAATGACATCCGTCTTAACAACAAATCTACCTTGCCTCCCTCCTCACTCACTGACTATATATCGAAAACAAAATCCTGGTTGTCTTCAGATTTATTCAAAATAAATAGCGACAAAACTAAGGTTCTCCTCATTAGTATAAAATCAACACGATCCAAAACAATTTTTCCTTAGTCAGTGACTGTTCCTCTGTCTCCCCCTCCTCACGGGTTAAGAGTCTGGGTGTCATTCTCGATAATACATTATACTTTCATTCATTGTATTTGCATCAATAATAATAATAACAGACCATAAATATGGAGTCCAGATGTGTTTCATGCTGCTGGGCAGACTGACCACTGGGAAACTCAGAGCTGTCCTGGCCCACTCTGTGGAAAAATCATGAAGAATTAGTCCAAGTACAGGATGCCGATCCACCACATCTGGGATTGCACCATTAATGCAAAATACGGGTTTATGAGCAGCATGCGCTCACAATCAGATCAGTTTGTTTTTCTCCTTTTCAGAGAAAACCTTTCATACATTCTTAAACCTGTTAGAAGACAACAGCATGAGTATTTTGAACTAAATGCAAACGATGGAGTGTTGAATACCTAAACAGAGAGAATTGCAGCAGTCGAGTCTAGAGGTGATGAAGGCATGAATATTTTTTTTAGATTTTTAGGAGGAAGATAAGGCTTTGCTTTGGCAATTTCAAGTAACTGATAAAAACTGTTTTTTACAACTGTGGACACTTGCTTCTCTAATTTAAAAGAGCTATCTAAAAACACTCAGAGATTTCTTACAGTGTGGGACTGATCACAAGCAAGTGGCCCAAGGGTATCCGTTAACTTATCCAAAGGGGCATGACTTCATAAAACAATAACTTCAGTCTTATTTTCATTTAGGGTGAGAAAATTCGGTCTTTAACATCATGTAGACAGTTAAGGAAAGGTGGCAGTGGGACAGAGACATCCAGTATTAAGGGGAAGTAAATTTTGATGTCATCAATATAACAGTAAAAGGCTATGTATTTCTTGAAAATAGATCCCAAAGGCAGCATGTATGAGGAGAAGGGAGTTGGGACCAAAACAGACCCATGTGGCACACCGCAACAAATAGGGGCAGAGGAAGAGGAGTATTCTTCAGTAGCAACAGAAAAGAACCTCTCTGATAGTTATAATTTAAACCCTGTTTAATATGGCGCCTTTAAGACCAACAATGTGTTGAAGTCTCGATAAAAGAATGTTATGTTCAGCTGGACTAGAACAACAGAAAATGCTGAGTTGAAAGTTAAAAGAAGATAATTAAAAACTCTTAAAAGTGTTGTTTGAAAACAACTTTTTCAAAAATTTTGGACATAAAAGAACATTTAGAAATGGGCCTGTAATTAGAAAGAACATTTGGATTGAGATTAAGGTTGTGTTGGGATTAAATAATTTGCAGTGCCTCAAAAATACTATGCTTTTTATTAATAATTATTAATAACACAGCCCTGAAAAATAAAGGCATGAAACCATGTGTCCTGCGAGAGTAGAAAGCTGCAGACTCTTGCTCACACTTGCGTGGGAAAATGTAGATAAGAGGAGACCATCTCTAGTGGAAGGTTACTGAGACACTGTTGTTTAGACTAGAATGAGAGAGCGTCTGGAATAAAACTGTTAGGGGCACACCACCATTTTGAGATCTGTGGCAACGTGTCATGCAGGACACATCTCCTTTCTAGAAGTATTGTGAAAGAGAAATAAAGGGTTAAATGGTCTACTGAGCAGTGTTTTGTCTTCCATCGGATGCCTCTGAGGAACCAAACAAACTCGGCGAAGTGTTGATATTTACAGTTGGCATCATACATCATACAGTTAGTAAAAGCAGAGAATAGTGAGCAGCAGTCAATGAATTTATCATGTGTAACTGACACACAGGTCCCTCACTGTTCAACTCCACATTACACACTGCGATATTAAACATCACTGGGAAATTATCTGATATCCCACAGTCCTTGATTTCTGTAATACAAACATCCAGACTGTTTGACAGCACCTGAACAAGTGTGTGGCATTTCGTGAGTTGGATCACACCCACTGAGTAAGATTAAAAGTGTCCATAAGGGGAAGGAAGTCCTTTACTAGTGGTCTAGTCTCACAGCGTACATGGATGTTAAACTCAACAACAATTAAAACACGGTCATATCCTAGCATAAGATTCCCTAGTAAGTCTGCAACATCAAGATTAAAATCCTTAATGCATTTCGGTGGACGATACACCACAGCTCAGAGGACTGAGGGAGCGGAGTTCAGTTCCTAAAACTGCACCTCAAAGCAGGAGTAGAAAAAAGGTGGCAGTTGCAGACAGCGAAATTTGTTTTTAAATACCAAAGCTAGCCCTCCATATCTACCAGTGATCCGGGGAGAGCTGAGAAATGAACAATCGGGGGGATGGAGTTCCGAGAAGGAAGAAAACTCACTGGGTCAAAGCCAAGTTTCCGTCAGGAATATAAAATCCAGTCCTGATGAGATTAAAAAAGAAAAAAAAAAGTCATTTCAGATAAAAGTCTTGTTTGCCAACAACATATATCCAACAACATCAAGCAGTTAAATCAGCTCTCAAAGACTTCATGTTACTAACAGCTCACCTCTCTGCAGCAGATGCCTGCTGGACTTTAAAATTAATTAAACTTTTCTTAGAGTCATCAGTCTTTAAGGACACACAGCTGGGTGGAGGTTCAGGCTGGTTCCTGTGAATAATGATGAAGCAGTGATGTGAGTGCTGAGCTGTGACATGGAGAAGAGTCATGGACAGTTAGAGATGGTCATCTCACCTCTGAGCTTTGGTCTGGCTCTCATCTTCCCCACACAGAGTGGTTTTAGAGGGAGGGACCTCCTCTCTGTCCTCACACGGATCCATGCTGCCGAATTCACATCCACGTCAGCTCACACGCACTTTCTACCTTCACCTGCAGAGGAAACACCAATCATTCATGTGCACATCAACTGAAATACTATTAATGCTATTGTATAAGTTTAGCGTGACTTGTTTTTTCTTGTCTTTTCTCATTTTCACAAAACACGAGAGATGTAACATTTCTTTTAGTTGCTGATGTTCCTGATGTTGGTCTTGCCGTGCCTTGGTCCTCCAAACTACAGAAGTGATGCACTGTACAGTGGTAAGTAACATAAATATAAATGTAACATAAAAAGTTACAAATATTTTACTAAATGTTGTAAAAAAAATGACTCAAAAAAACATGTTTTTGTAAGGTTTTGAGCTAAATGTGGAAAGATGTTGATGTTAATTTTCAGCATGTTTCCCTTTACAAATGGCGCCCCATAGTGTAGCCTTATTGTGGTCAGACGTTTTAATTGGTTGCTCCTAAATACACTTTTATTGTAGCTCTGTTTTACTTGCAAATGTGTGTGAAATGCTCACGTTTACATCATTTAACACATGGGCACACTACAGAGCCATGTTTTAAACAAAACATCAAAGCAAAGGATCTGCATCAAGGATTTTTTTATAATCAAATTACTCAATGATTCGGTCCAGTACTATAATAGATATAGAATGACTGAAAACAGAAAGGAAACTGTTTATCAAGAACCCAAAAACACAAGAACAGCTTTAACAGATGAGTCAGCTATCTGGGTTACGATGATGTTAAATCCTTTTTTTATTGCACAGAAGATTAGAGATGATCTGCCAACACAGTCTCATTCCTAACTCATCAGAGAACCTCTGTGATCACATTTTGGACACACCTGGAACCGACAGCAAGGTAGTGACTCTGCTTTATTTTCTGACCATATTCTTTACAATTTGTTTTACACTACTCGCATTTATCACTGTGATCACAAACTACAAAAGGTAACTGTTGAGGAAATTTTAAATAAACTGCAAACACCCGGTAAGCATCTTTTTGATTCAGAGTTTATTATACACACTGCATGTGGAGAGAGTGCTCTGGTCACAAACCAGAATGGTCTCTAAAGATGGGCGCTGCCCTACATATGACCCGGCCAAACTCATGGACAAAGGAAATTCCTCAGCACATCACGTAGCTCTATACCTCCCAGTTCACTACACTAACAGAGAGCTGACAGACAGGTAGTCCAAGAGGATTTCATGATACCATCAAAATTATTAGTTTAACCTTTAGTTATAGACCATAATTCACATGCAGACATCACAATTATAGAATTTAATAAATCCAGAGCTACAAACATAAAGAAATGTTTTTTAAAAAAAACCTTAAAGTTATGAAATATTACAGAGATCTATAAATACAGCCAGGTCAGTTCAGCTCCATTCGTTTCTGTGACGCCAAAATTATCAGCAGTTAGCAGAGGAATGTTTTTAACTGAACACTTCCTCATGCCTGAGTGTGTCACGCTACATGTGGGTCTGAGTGTGAACATTAACTTGGTTATTACAACTTTATTCTTCTCTGTTCTTTCTGTTTTTAAATACGTGCTTCTGTTTTTCATCAATAAATAGGAGTCCTTGTTAAAGTGGTTCAGATCTTCACATCTGAACATTTCTCTGAGTTTTTTATCAATACACCGGATCCCAAATTATTATACAAATTGTGTTTATTTAAGTTTCATAAAGATTAAATAAGTTGTTTTTCAATTAAACTCAAGGATGGAATTGTGGTGGTGATCTTTGGATCACTGAAATCAAATCACAATGATGAAGGTTTCTGCCAGGCAAATACATCAGATTAAGAGAGCAGCTGCTAAAAGGCCATTAAAAAGCAGCAAACACATATTTTAAGTTGCAGGTGCCTCTGCAGCCCCGCGAACGTCAAGCTGTAGGATCCTCCAGAGACTTGCAGTTGTGCATAAACCTTCTATTCGACCACCCCTAACCAATGCTCACAAGCAGAAACGGCTGCAGTGGGCCCAGAACTACATGAAGACTAATTTTCAAACAGTCTTGTTCACTGATGAGTGCCGTGCAACCCTGGATGGTCCAGATGGATGCAGTGGTGGATGGTTGGTGGACGGCCATGATGTCCCAACAAGGCTGTGTCGTCAGCAGGGAGATGGTGGAGTCATGTTTTGGGCCAGAATCACGGGAAAAGAGCTGATCGGCCCCTTTAGGGTCCCTGAAGGTGTGAAAATGACCTCTGCAAAGTATGACTGACCACTTTCTTTAATGGTACAAAAAGAAGAACAGTGCTTTCCGCAACAAAATCATCTTCATGCAAAACAATGCACCATCTCAAGCTGCAAGGAATACCTCTGCATCATTGGCTGCTATCGGCATAAAAAGAAGAGAAACTCATGGTGTGGCCCCCATTCTCCCCTAACCTCAATTGTATTAAAAACCTTTGGAGCATTCAAGCAAGCAAAACAGGTGGGAGGCAGTTCACATCCAAACAGCAGCTCCGGGAGGCTATTCTAGCATCCTGCAAAGACATTCAAGCAGAAACTTCCCAAAAACTCACAAGTTCCATGGGTGCAAGAACTGTGAAACTGCTATCAAATAAGCGGTTCTAAGTTAATATGTAACTTGACCTGTTAAGATGTTTCTGATTGAAATATCTTGTGATTTC